TAATTCCTATCCTAAAAAAAAAATTGTCCCTTTTAGACTTGCACTATATATATATATAATCAAAATAAAAATAATACTTATTAGGTATCATGAAAAAATATATGGTAAAAAATATTAGGGTTCTCACAGTTGTGCATATTTTAAATAATATATTTAAATAATAGAATTTATATACAAAGTTATAATAATTAATCATTTAATTGAAATGTAATTTCAACATTAATATTTCTAATATTAATATTACTGTCTATAATTTGTATATTGCCGTGTTACAGATAACATTAATAAACAATTATAAATGATTATTCTTATATTTTAACCAAACAACAATAACAACAATAATAATAATAATTATTATTATTATCATTATTAAATTTTATACATAATATATTAAAAAATTAAAAAAATTAATAATTATTAGGTCTCATGAATAAATATGCTAAAATAAATTATATAAATAATACAAATATATTATATAAAACACAAAGTAAAATAACTATGAATGAATGTGAATAAAATACCTCTCATGTAATGTGTTTTTGATGAGAAATGTTTGAAATCACACCGAGCTCATTATGATCGAGCTTATAAACTCATCACATTTGTGATTTTCTTCCCATGTGTACACAGTGTGTGTGTGGTCCATGTGGAGGCAAATAAACACTTTTTTTCACACTCATTGCCGGTGGAAAGCAGCACAGAGTGAGGATCTCTTACACTGACCTCTGAGCAGTTAAGTAGGTCAGAAAGCATGGCCAAATCTGGACATTTAAATGTGTTGCTCTGGATAACGCTGACCTCCAGCCAACATTTACAATAAAACCATCCTGCAATTTCACTTTCACAAACATACTCGTACAATCACTGACAAAACACAGACATAAATGAGCAAACACACACAACTCTAGGTTCCAGGGGTCTGCAGCGATCTGTCTCGCACTCTTCAGCCATGACCCCGCTGAGAGGGCCATGAGAAAGACACAGGTGACACAGAATGACGGACCTGTCCTCTTCTGACCCCTCGGACTCCAAACAAACCATGACGGCCCGCTGCGCCCCTGCTCTCCTAAAGCACACTGACATTTTAAAGTGAAGGCATTAACATGTCAGGTCTGAGTAACAGTGGCGGACGCGCGGCCAAAGGCCTGCTCATGGTAATTAAAGGCAAACAGGAAGTGCCTGAACTGTGAAATTGAATGTTCAATGTATCTATAACCTCAGTGTCAGATTATCAGTGATTTGAGGCAAATTTCACTGGTAGAAACAGTAAATGTGATTATGGTTATCTTTACAAAGTTTGTCCATTGGATAAATGTGCATACGGTGGGAGTAGGGCTATTGTCCATTAAGAACATTCATTAATTATAATATTTAATAATCACTACTGCATTGCAAATATAATAATAATAATAATAAAATGTAAAACTGTATTTATACACAATTTGTCTACTGCATTAAATTTAACATTAAAAATGTAAATAAATAA